TATCCACTCCAAAGCTCTTGTTCTCTCCTATACTGTGTAATTTTGACTAACGTGTCTGTCCTTGTATTAGGATTTTTAGATAATAAATTTATTGGATGATCAATCAACCCCACCCTTCCCTCTTAAAAAGTATAATTGTTCCCACTCTTTCTAAAATGCAAGGGCCTATTCCTTGCTTTGGTAAACATAGTTGGCTGAAATTGCTATGAAATACTCTAGTGCAATGCCAAGCATATAAAAGACCTTAGATAAGATTGGATTTTCCCCCTGATAACACAGGAAACTATACCATGGTGTCAGAACCGCTGTCAAGGTCCATAAGGATCATAGACAGCATTGTGGAAATAGCTTGTGGACATAGCTCTGAAGAGTCGAATATATTATGCTGTGCTTGTCCTCATGTATCTTTTGCATGTTCTGTGTCTCCCCATCTGTAAAATAGGTATGATAACATCTATCTTGAAGGGTTGTGAGAATTATAGATGATGCCTTTAAAGAAAACTGCCAGATGAAGAGTTGACTCAATAAATGGTAACATTAGCGCAATTTTTAAAAGTATGTATCTGGTGTCTTAATGTCTTGTGATTAGGTATGTCTCCTAATAGTGTAATAATTTTTTAAAAATCCAAATGTTTGGAAAGACTGAGTTAATCAAGTTTTGGTTAAATTCTTTATGAATAATTACCATTCAGAAGACCCTGAGGAGGGATTCAGGCAAACCATGGCAGAGCTTTCTTCTCCAAGGGTTTGTGAGAAGGACTGAGACCAGTATTTCAAGACACCTGTGGACGGGTCCGTGCGGATTTTTTGCTAGAAGTTCAAACACCCTGCAAGATGTCTATTTCCTACTTAAGTCTAACAACTCCTTGGATCTCTCTCTTCAAGCAAGGAAGCACCATATAGTACAGACAAAACCTTTTATCAAATCAACTCTTCACCATCATCTCTAAGCTCAGGAAGTAGTCTTTCAGGAATGAATACCTTTGGGAACTGAAGTCTATCTGTAGGGGTGGTATACTGGCTCATACCAAAACCTTTGGCATCATCCTTGAGCAACTCCCACCATCAACCTTATCTCATTTTTCCCTCCACTCTATAGGCAAATCCTGAAAATTCTACCTTCAAAACATATCAGAATCCAACCTCTTCTACAACCATGCCACTCCCTTGATCTCCATCCTTCCACAAAGTCCATTTGACTTGGAAGACTAGCCAAAGTTCCTACTGTAATATGTAAGTTTCCACAGGATATGGCCCCAGGCTACAGCTCTTGAACCTCAACCAATACTATTTCCACTCCCTCCCTCTGCTCCAGCCATACTTATCTTCTTGTTGCTCCTCAAATACACAGGCCACAATGCCTCAGGGCCTTTGCATTTGCTTCTCCATCTACCTACAATGATTTTCTCCATATATATGCATGGCCAGGTCTTTCACCCCCTTCTGGTTATTGCTCAAATATAACATTTCTAGGGAGCTCTTACCTTACTTAAATTTATCTTTTCCAGAATGGTAACTCTTTCATGCTTTTTACCCGCATACTACACTATGTATTATCAACTCTTAGACATCAACGTTATGAGAAGCAACATCGTATATGTGCTAGAAGAAAAGAAAAAAAAATTAAACAACGATATGTCCTTGACTGTAAAATTCATCCTGATTTCAGAGATATTTAAAATATGTAGAATTATATTTTGTTAACCCTAAAATGCACATTGTTTTGCTCTTTTAATATCTCTATTTATTTGGCTTGTGGTGTGTCTCCTTCCACTATGAGGTAAACTCCAGTGGGGTACAGATTTCTTTATGGTTTTATACTGTTTCCCCCAGTGTCTCAATCAGTGCTTAGAACACAGTTAATAATAAATACTGGTTGAAAAAATGAATGCTGGAGATTCCCAGGGTCATTAGTAATAAACTTGCCTTCTAAAAGTTCCCTGTATCATTTAAATGATAAAATAATTAATGTAATATTAAATAATTTTTAATTTTCTCAAAGTAACTCAACATATGTTGTCTCTTTTGCTTACCCCTATGGATAACATGGTGTAGAGAAGGAAAGTGCCTTATCCGAGACATGGCTATGGTCAAACAAGGATTCAGAGTCAATCTTTTCTTTCCTATAGTATAAAATGTTGCAAATTCCTGTGGACAAGAAGTAAAGTGAGCAGATTGTATTGAACTGATAGCTGCATTGAATTAACTGGGCCAGTCTGACAAGGTGGACAGATACTGATGGATTCAGGGACATGGTTGACTGTGGTCAGTTGTTATAAAAGTGTTGACCCTTGTGCTTAGCATGTCACATAAAACTGGCCAGAGAATGGATGAGATATGGTGGCCATAAAAGTCATCACATGGGCCAAGGGAAAAATAAAGCCAAGGGACGTCCATGTGAAATATGTTGGAAGCAGCTGGCAAATTAAAAGACTTAATAAATAGATGAATAGATAACATATGTTCACATATAAATTTATTTAAAACAAATACACATGAATCTATGTTATGTTATATAAAATATATATAACAAAATAATTTTTATACTTAAACATTTCAAAAAGGGATTTTGTAAAAAAAGGATTCATATAATATTTTTTAAATAGTATGGTTCCTACAATCTTTTCCATCCCCCCATTTCTCCATCAGTAACAATAACAGTTAACAATCAATTGTTATTTTTTTTAAATATTTATTTATTTTATTTATTTATTTTCCTTATTTTTTTGGCTGTGTTGGGTCTTAGTTGCAGCACACAGGATCTTCCTTGAGGCACATGCGGTCTTTCATTACGGCGCGCAGTCTCTTTGTTGCGGTGCTCAGGCTTCTCTCTAGTTGGGGCATGCGGGTTTTCTCTTCTCTAGTTGTGGAGTGCAGGCTCCAGAGCACGTGAGCTCAATAGTTGTGGTGCGTGGGCTTAGTTGCCCCGCGGCACATGGGATCTTAGTTCCCCGACTAGGGATTGAACCCATGCCCCCTGCATTGGAAGGTGGATTCTTTACCACTGGACCACCAGGGAAGTCCCCAATTGTTATGTTTTTACACACATATTCTAAACCCACTCAAATACATACAAACAGTGTTATTGTTGTTTTGTTTAACAAAAATGTTATCCTAGTATACATAAATTTTCATAAATTGTTTTATTCACTCAAATCAATCTTCTGCCATGAGAATATATACAAATTACACTTTTTTTAAAAGCTATATCTTATTAAATAGTATGAATGTATTGTAATTAATTTAATCAGGCTACTTTATTTCACTAGTGTGTGTTTTTCTCACTGTGTGTAGTGTACAACTATCACATAAATATTTGTTAACTGTACACTCTGTGTTTCCCTCTTCTTATTGTTTTCCCATGAAAGTCTCCTTCACACACATTTCTTAGTTGTGCCTTGTATCTTCTTTTCCTGAGATGGAGGATTAAATGTTCAAAAAGGAAAGTAGTCACCATGGTAAATGTATGTTTGACCTGAGAGCAAGTTTGCTTGTTTGTTTTAAGCTATCGCTTATATATTTACTGGTTTGATTTTACATTGATAAAGCCCATTTCAAAAAATTGAACAATAAAATGTTAAACTTGGGAAACTCTGAAATTTTATAGTCTGACTTCCCACTTCATGCAAATCCTTCTTTGTAGACCTTTATACCTTCTCATAAGCTTCTTTCTCTGCCTGAAAATGAACTTTGGTTCCTTCAACTAAAATCTCTCTACCATTTAAGCTCAACTTATGACATCACCTCCAAGAAGCTTTCTCTGATTGCCCCAAGGCATTAAGATGTCCCTCTGGTGCTCGAAGAGCAACCCGTGTTTGCAAGGATCAGTATATTTTTCACTTGCCATGGTAATTGTGGATGTGATTTTCTATTTCCTCTGCTAGATTATAACCTCTCTCATTGGAAGGAAATCTGTCCTCTTTCACATCTGTGTTTCCAGTGCATAACGTGATATATAGAGAAGTACTAACAACTCTTTTCCAGTAGAATAACTAATTAAATGAATACATATGCTACCTTCTTTTTAGACTTCTCATTGCCTATGTGTGTGTGTGTGATATTTTAATAGACAGTAGACATATGTGGTGCATCAGTTTGAGAAGTGGAGTGCTTGTTGAAAGGATGGGACTTAACTTTAGATAATCTTACCGCTAACAAAGTGTCTGTGTTGTGAAAGAAGAAAGAGAGAGGTGGTTATTTTTGCAGAGATGGCTTGTTTGCTTCAGTGTATTGGCGGAGCTCTCTTAACCTAGATTTCATTCTGTTTGCTCTTTTCATGTGAAACCATGCAGCTCATACCTACATATCTTTCTCTAATAAAAGAGTTGTCTTAAGGAAACAAATCAGCAGCTGTCAAGGGGGTGCCAGAATGAGTCATTGATTTGCAGTCAAGATAGCCGATTCCCCATGCTGATGGATTCACCAACTTTTCAGGGCCCCTGAGAGTTCACCTGCTTGTCACAGAGCATAGCACTTTGGTTCAGCTTTGAAATGAGGAATGTCCCTTCACTGTGATTCAAGCTGATTGCCCCTTTGTCACCAGGTTTTAGCTTCTAGGATAAGGTTTTACCTTTCACTCAAACAAGTACTGTTAGAGCTCAAGGTTAAAAGATTCACCTTGATGTTTTCTCCAGATAAGCTGTGATGGTAAAGACATTCTCACGTAAGCAGCTGAGGCTCCATTTATGTGGAAAAGTGAACCCATTCTCCCAAATTCCAGGTAGTTCAACATAATCCAGTATGATAATTATTTCTTTGTTATGAAATAGCCAAGAACCTGAGAAAGCATCTAATCCTACTTCAGAGGATTCTGTGGTCTCCCAGCCAGAACTGGCTGACACAATGCTCAAATCCAAGTATGATATCCTTGTCACTTTACTAGAAACGCACCCTTTCTTCTTATTCTCCCTTATAGGCTGGTACTGGAGGTTTATATGACTAACTGGTGGGCAGTAAGGATATTGAATGGTTAGGGAAGTTTGTAAAAAAAAAAGGGCACCCTGGCTTTTTTTCAGGTAGCTGGGAAGATGGCAGACATTCAGACTGAGCGTGCCTACCAAAAGCAACTGACCATCTTTCAAAATAAGAAGAGGGTCCTGCTTGGAGAAACTGGCAAGGAGAAGCTCCCATTATACTACAAGAACATTGGTCTGGGCTTCAAGACACCAAAGGAGGCCATGGAGGGCACCTACATTGACAAGAAATGCCCTTTTACTGGTAATGTCTCCATCCGAGGGCGGATCCGGTCTGGCGTGGTGACCAAGATGAAGATGCAGAAGACCGTTGTCATCCACCGAGACTACCTCCACTACATCCGAAAGTACAACTGCTTCTAGAAGCACCACAAAAACATGTCTGTGCACCTTTCCCCCTGCTTCAGGGATGTCCGAATCAGCGACAGTGTCACAGTGGGCGAGTGCTGGCCCCTGAGCAAGATGGTGCACTTCAACATGCTCAAGGTCAACGAGGATGATGGCACCAAGAAGCATTCCAGCAGTTCTAAGCCTGGACCATTGCCCACTGCCCCAAACAAAATAATTTATTTTCCCAGTCAAAAAACAAACAAAGAAACAAAAAAACGGCACCCTGGGTCTTTCTTTCCCTCTTTCCTGTTTTTAGAAGTGATATAGTGTAGCATTTAAGTGTAAAAACCCTGAAGACAGACCACACAGTTTAGAACGCAGGATTCATCACTTACTAGCGAAAGAAAGGAGTGTGTTAATGTTTCTGTGCCCCAGTGTTCTCAGCACTAAAATGGGATAGCCACATGTTTGCTGAGAAGTTTAAAAGAGTTAATTAAAGCCAAGTACTTAGAACAATGACTAGCACAGAGTAAGCTCTCAGTAAATATTACCTGTGTTTATTCATAGGTGTATATGGGAATGGGATGAAAACTACTGTCTTCCCCTCTCTATCTTTGTGTTTAGAATTAAAGTGAGCTCTTTGTTTTGCTGTATATTTCTCAAGGTTTCAACTTTATTTCCTTTGCTTGGGTATAATCTTAGGCCCTCTGCTTTTATCTGAATCGTGAGGGAATAAACATAGAATGGTATCTGTCTAAGAGCATGGGTTTGGGTGTCAGTCAGACTGCAATTTTGGAATGACTGGGGTCAGTCCATTTGTTTGCCAGAACTGCTATCTAAGGCCTTATAGAATATTTTACATGTCAACAACGTAATGTCATAGAGGCTCAAGAGACCCACTTTATGGCAAAGGCAGTGTGAAAGTTTATATATGTCTATCGAATCCACTTGTCCTCTCATATACCACACCACCCAGAAGCTGTTGGCCTAATACAGCAATATACTGAGTTGTTAAAGGCACAGCTAAGGCAGCAACTTGGAGACAATATGCTGTGAAGATGGGGTGTCATCCTCTAAGACAGCGGTCCCCAACCTTTTTGGTACCAGGGACCGATTTTGTGGAAGATAATTTTTTCACAGATGGAGAGGGAGAGGAGAACAGTTCAGGCAGTAATGCGAGCAAAGGGGACAGAAGGGGAGCAGCAGATGAAGCTTCGATGGCTTGCCCACCGCTTACTTCCTGCTGCGTGACTGGTACTGCGGCCCTGGGGTTGGGGACCCCTGCTCTAGGACATCACATGTACCTTATATCAACATCCATCATATGATGCTGCCTCCAATGGATAGAAAATATTGGTCTGAGAGATAATAGATATGGGCAAGAAGACTGCACTTTTCATTATTTCCAATGTTCTACTTGGGGAATTTGTGGTCACTCAAATCCCCTTAATTCTGTGCTCTTCTAGATTAGAAGTTATGGTCTCCAGAAAGAGAAATGCTTCCCCCAGGCAATCAGCAAGAGATCCATTTAACTTTGAGCTAAGACCGCACTGTGGGCTCCTCCTGCCAAGGGACCAACAGGGAGGAATAAAATTCACAATCTTGGTAGGCGTAATTGACCTGGATCATGAAGAGGAGGTAGGGCTGCTGGCACACAATGGGAGCCGGAAGAAATATGTTAGACATCCAAATTATCCACTTGGATATCTCTTAGTTCTCCCTTGTACAATTTTGATGATACATGGATAAGTTTAGTGGTCAGTGCTTTCAAATGACATGGAAAGCAGAAGTATAGACTTCTCAGGGATGAGGGTCTTGTTCATTCCACATGGTGAACCACCAAGACCCACAGTGATGCTAGCTGACAGTGAAGGGAATCTAGAATGGATAGTACTGGATGAAGATAATGATAATCAGTTGTAGGTTCAAGACCCAGTTATAGCAGCAGGGGCTGCAGTTCATCCTACTAATCTCCCACTTGTGAGTTTCTTCCAGCAGAAGAGGCCCACCCAGAGCCTTGAAGTGATATAATGTAAGTGAATTCAAATGTCATCAGGCATCCGCTTTGATAGACTCTGTGTTGTGCTGCATGGATCTCTCTTTTAGGACTGATATAGTTACCCAACTACTGATCAGGTTGTGGGCTGACAACTTTCAATTATCAGGTTAGGAAGGTTGACTAACCCCGTTTTGCGGGGTATCCCATTTCCGATTACTGATGGTCTCAGTGGTATAAAGCTGGACCCCTCACCTTAACTTGTGACGACCCTGAAGGACTACCCTAGGTTCAGAGCTCCCTGTAGGGTTGTCTGAGGCCTTAATGGATACTGCATTGCAGCCTGACTTCTCCCTGCATTCAATCCTGCTTTCTTTTTCTTTTCCCTCCAGATATTAATACTAAGAATAGTCCCTATTAAACTTTCTGCATGCTATTCTTTATCTCAGGGTTCCTGGGGACTTCTACTGATGATGCTACCTGAATATACACCCAAATAAGTAGGAAACAAGATAGGCACAAAACATTCATTTCAGCAGTGATTGTAAGAAAAAAATGCCATTAGCAAGGCTAGTCTGCTCATTGAATAACCTATGGTACCCTTAAAAGGCAGTACCACAAAACAATCAAAAAGAATAAAGAAGACCTCTATGAAGTATATGGAGACAGTCCATATTTTAAAGTGAAAAAGGAAATAAAGAAAGGTTCAGAACAGTGTACCTAATATGCAAACTTTTGTATAAAAGAAAAGGAAATAAATATAAAAAATAATTATCGGCCAATTTTGATGTACTAGATAATGAAATAATAAATGAAAATTGCTACACACTGAGGATGAGTGTGAATAAAATGAAAAGAAAAGATATAATGACTAGAATTGTCTGGAAATACAATAAACCTTAAAATTGAATTCAGATATCAACATATAAACATAATTGCACTTTAAATTAACAGCATAAACACATTAAAGGCAGTAATTATTTCAAGAAACTGTGGAACACAATACTCTATCCCTAATAAGATATATTTAAAGGGAAAAAAAGAGAAAAATATTAGATATGGCTTAGTGGGATTATTGTTAATAGTAAGTTTGGGAGATTAGTTGAAGATGGCAGAGTAGAAGGATGTGTGCTCACTCACTCTTGCAAGAGCATCGGAATCACAATTAACTGCTGAACAATCATTGACAGGAAGACCCTGGAACTCACCAAAAAGGATACCCCACATCCAAAGACAAAGGAGAACCCGCAATGAGGTGGTAGGCGGGGCACAATCACAATAAAATCAAATCCCATAACCACTGAGTGGGTGAGTCACAAACTGGAGAACAATTACATCACAGAAGTCCACCCACTGGAGTGAAGGTTCTGAGCCCCACGTCAGGCTTCCCAGCCTTGGGGTCTGGCAAAGGGAGTTGGAATTCTCAGAGAATCAGACTTCGCAGGCTAGCGGGATTTGATTGCACAACTCTGACAGGTCTGGGGAAAACAGAGGGCACACACAAGATTGTGTGTGCATCAGGACACAGAGGGAAGGAGAGTGACACCATAGAAGACTGAACCAGACCTACCTGCTAGTGTTGGAGGGTCTCTTGCAGAGGCGGGGAGTGGCTGTGGCTCACTGTGAGGACAAGGGCACTGGCAGCAGAAGTTGTGGGAAGTACTCCTTGGTGTGAGCCCTCCCAGAGTCCAACATTAGCCTCACCAAAGGGCCTGTAGGCTCCAGGGCTGGGTGCCTCAAGCCAAACAACCAACAGGGAGGTAATTCAGCCCCACCCATCAGCACACAAGCAGATTAAAGTTTTACTGAGCTCTGCCCACCAGAGCAGCACCCAGCTCTACCCACCACCAGTCCCTCCCATCAGAAAACTTGCACAAGCCTCTTATATAGCCTCATCCACCAGAGGGCAGACAGCAGAAGCAAGAAGAACTACAGTCCTGCAGCCTGTGGAATGAAAACCATATTCACAGAAAGATAGAGAAAATGAAAAGGCAGAGGACTATGTACCAGGTGAAGGAACAAGATAAAACCCCAGAAAAACCACTAAATGAAGTGGAGATAGGCAACCTTCCAGAAAAAGAATTCAGAATAATGATAGTGAAGATGATCCAGGACCACAAAAAAAGAATGGAGGCAAAGATCTAGAAGATGCAAGAAATGTTTAACAAAGAGATAGAAGAATTAAAGAACAAACACCTAGAAGAATTAAAAAACAAAAAGACATGAACAATACAATAACTGAAATGAAAAATACACTAGAAGGAATCAATAGCAGAATAACTGAGGCACAAGAACAGTTAAGTGACCTGGAAGACAGAATGGTGGAATTCACTGCCACGTAACAGAATAGAGAAAAAGAATGAAAAGAAATGAAGACAGCCAAAGAGACCACTGGGACAACATTAAATGCACCAACATTTACATTATAGGGGTCCCAGAAGGAGAAGAGAGAGAGAAAGGACCCGAGAAAATATTTGAAGAGATTATAGTTGAAAACTTCCCTAACATGGGAAAAGAAATAGCCACCCAAGTCCAGGAATCACAGAGAGGTCCCAGGCAGGATAAACCCAAGGAGAAACACACCAAGACACATAGTAATCAAATTGACAAAAATTAAAGACAAAGAAAAATTATTGAAAACAAGGGAAAAATAACAAATAACATACAAAGGAATTCCCATAAGGTTAACAGCTGATTTCTCAGCAGAAACTCTACAAGCCAGAAGGGAGTGGCATGATATATTTAAAGTGATGAAAGGGAAGAACCTAAAAGCAAGATTACTCTCAATGTCAAAGATCTCATTCAGATTCAATGGAGAAATCAAAAGCTTTATAGACAAGCAAAAGCTAAGAGAATTCACCACCACTAAACCATCTTTACAACAAATACTAAAGGAACTTCTCTACGTGGGAAACACAAAAAAAGGAACCTACAAAAACAAACCTAAAACAATTAAGAAAATGGTAATAGAAACATACATATAAATAATTACGTTAAATGTGAATGGATTAAATGCTCCAACCAAATAACACAGGCTCACTGAATGGTTACAAAAGAAAACCCATATATATGTTGTCTACAAGAGACCCACTTCAGACATAGGGACACATACAGACTGAAAGTGAAGGGATGGAAGACGATATCACATGCAAATGGAAATCAAAAGAAAGCTGGAGTAGGAATACTAATATCAGATAAAATAGACTTCAAAATAAAGAATGTTACAGGAGACAAGGAAGGACACTACATAATGATAAAGGGATCAATACAAAAAGATATAACAATTATAAATATATATGCAAGTAACATAGGAGCACCTCAATACATGAGGCAAATGCTAACAGCTTTAAAAGAGGAAATCAACAGTGACACAGTAATAGTGGGGGAATTTAACACCTCACTTACACCAATGGACAGATCATCCAGACAGAAGATTAGTAAGGAAACAGAAACTTTAAATGACACAATAGACCAGGTACATTTAATTGGTATTTATAGGACACTCCATCCGGAAATATCAGATTACACTTTCTTCTCAAGTGCTCATTGCCCATTCTCCAGGATAGATCATATCTTGGGTCACAAATCAAGCTGCGGTGAATTTAAGAAAATTGAAATCATATGAAGCATCTTTTCTGACCACAACACTATGACATTAGAAATAAATTACAGGGAAAAAAGGATAAAAAACACAAACACAGGAAGGCTAAACAACATGCTACTAAATAATCAAGAGATCTCTGAAGAAGTCAAAGAGGAAATCAAAAAATACCTACAGACAAATGACAATGAAAACATGATGATCCAAAGCATATGGGATGCAGCAAAAGCAGTTCTAAGAGGGAAGTTTAGAGTAATACAATCCTACCTCAAGAAACAAGAAAAATCTCAAATAATCTAACCTTACACCTAAAGGAACTAGAGAAAGAAGAACAAACAAAACCCAAAGTTAGTAGAAGGAAAGAAATCATAAAGATCAGAGCAGAAATAAACGAAATAGAAACAAAGAAAACAATAGCAAAGATCAAAAAAACTAAAGTCTGGTTCTTTGAGAAGATAAACAAAATTCATAAACCTTTAGCCAGACTCATCAATAAAAAGAGGAAGAGGACTCAAATCAATGAAATTAGAAATGAAAAAGGAGAAGTTACAATGCACACTGCAGAAATAAAAAGCATCCTAAGAGACTACTACAAGCAACTCTATGCCAGTAAAATGGACAACCTGGAAGAAATGGACAAATTCTTAGAAAGGTATAACCTTCCAAGACTGAACCAAGAAGAAATCGAAAATATGAACAGACCAATCACAAGTAATGAAATTGAAACTGTGATGAAAAATCTTTCAACAAACAAAAGTCCAGGACCAGATGGCTTCAAAGGTGAATTCTATCAAACCTTTAGAGAAGAGCTGACACCCATCCTTCTCAAAGTCTTCCAAAAATTTGCAGTGGAAGGAACACCCCCAAACTCATTCTATGAGGCCACCATCACCCTGATACCAAAACCAGACAAAGATACTACAAAGAAAGAAAGTTACAGACCAATATCAATGATGAATACAGATGCAAAAATCCTCAACCAAAAAATAGAAAACAGAATCCAATAACACATTAAAAGGATCATACATCATGATCAAGTGG